TCTTGCTCAAGGACACTTCGGCATGCAGCGGGAGGAGCCGGGGATCGAACCGCCAACCTTCTGATTGATGCATTTTATGTATTTTATTCCCACCAAACACGAAACAACGGACAAGAGAACTTGGCACCAACATGTAGGTGAATAAATAACTAATGCAGCACTTCTTTAAAAGAACAAGTTTCACTCATCAGAATTTCGATTTCTCTCTCCTTAATTCCAAATAAGATGGAAAGAGAGGAGCCTGTGTTAGATGAGGCAGACTGAGAGGAATTGTCAACACTAGTACCCTTCTCTCTCTCTCTCTCACACACACACACACACACACACACGGTCTGAGTCACCTGTAGACAAACCCCTTTATTGAGAAGCAGCCGGCCATCTTTGATTAGATGAGAGTGACTCAGCAGACAGTGAACACAAGGGGGTGTGTTTGTGCGTTGGCCCTGTGATTTTGTGCGAGAGTACAATGAATGAGCGCGTTTGTGTTCATGTGGGAATATGTGAATGTTGTGTGACCGTGGCTATAAGAGAGAGAGACTGTGTGTGTGTGTGTGTGTTGTCATACCTCGTGGTCTGGTATCTCAGAGGAAAGAGTCTTTCCCAACACTGCTGCCGTCAGGTAGGTCCAACAGCGAGCCGTATTAGCCAGATTATAACCTCCTGGTGGGAAAGAGGGAGACAGAGAGAGATATAAAGAGGAAACGTCCACTCCAGACATGTTTTAAAGTATGTAAAGATCCTCTGTTATGATTAATATATTGATTAACATGGTTTTCCCACGTAAAAAGTAAAAAAAAAACTCTGAAAATGGGCTGGAAACACATCTAATCTTTCTCCCTCATTGAGAAATTCTGCTTCAAGATTTCTAGCATTATAAGAAACATCCTCCATCACTCCCAGACTCAGATGAGGAGTCTGTTTAGTCTGTTTTGCACCAAAATCTGCAACTAACATACATATCAGAGTGGTAAGTGTAGTTAGCATCTTTTATTTGTTTACGTTGGTTGTTTGCATGGATACAAGTCGGTAAAGTCAAGGTGAGACGTTTTAGGAGACATTAACAAAAGAAAAACTAATTTTTGACTGAAGGTGGGGGCGTTGTTTTGTGGTCACATCCTGCCAAAGTTCATCTGACGCCTGCTAACTGCCCAAAAAGGTGTCGACAATCGAGAAAAAAAAAG